ATGCTCAATGATCGTGTGTGCATCAAGTCCGGCGGTAGCTTCAGAGATATCCTATCTGTCGGTTACTTCACTTCATGCTGCAATCCTGCTAATGGATGTCCCAAGTGAGAGAAATGCATTCAACCACGGGCGATAGCAATGCGTTCTCTGAATGACAGCTAAGATTTACTTCATCTTCAGAGCGAAGGGCTGTCAGGGTGGCAACCTGCTTGAAGGTCTGAACTTCCTGAAAAATCATGGCATTGTTACTGGTAAGAATATTCAACTCAGATCACTCAAGTTGGGTGAGTTTGAGACCGGCATCGACTCCTCTTCGGATTAGCATCACTCGTAGCCTTCGTAGGTGATGAATTCAAACCGGCCAGGCAACTGAGTAGCGCTGATGGCTGCTGGCCGTATCCATTCCCGAAGTGCAATCATGTACGCTCGGCGGCCAGCAGATATCCCGCATGTCCGGCAGTAAGTGTAACATAGGGTTCCGAGTGGCGTCATCACATGGTGGTGGATTCTCTAGTCGTAGGCGGGTTACTCCTCTCCTGCATGCCAAACTAAATGCACCAATAAAGCATACAAGACCAGCCTTCAGCAGTAGGAGCACACCAGATGGAGACTTCATATTCACTCTATATCAGAGATCTTCACCGTGCTAAGAGCTTTGGCCGTCTACCAGCGATCCCCCAGAATATCAAGCAAGAGATTTTCACTAATGGACCTGTAAGCCACCGTAGCTTAGCTACGGAGTTCATTTCATCTCGATGCTGATTTCTAGCAGTTGCGATGAAGCTAACGTATCTATAAATCAATCAATTAGATTGAGTTTGATGAAATCTGCATTTGCATTATTCAAGAAAATCTGACTCGACTTTGGGACTGAGATTGTGGATTTCTCTCGGATGATGTGGCTAGTAGTCTGAGCGGATCATCTCTTTATTTCAGGTTATCGGGATGCTTTCTATTTATGAAGATATCCGAGTATACAAGGCTGGTGTCTACGTGCACCAAACTGGTAGCTTCCAGGGTATTCATACTCTTAAGATTATTGGTTGGGGAGTTGAGTCCGGGCAAGATTATTGGTTAGCGGTGAACTCTTGGAATGAGGAATGGGGTGACCATGGTATGATCAAGCTTGCAGTGGGAAGAACTGGTATAGAGAACTCTGTGTATTATGTCGAACCGGCTTAGTACTTTGGTTCACATCACGCCTTTTCTCAGTTAGTCA